ATGTAGATTTGTACACAGTTGACAATCACCTCTGAGTGATAATACAATTGACAATAGCATCTGAGTGTGTACACAATTGACAATAATGCTTAAGGAATAAGAAAATCATGGATTTTACAAAAAAGATGATTGGTTAGGGTGTGTACACAATTGACAATAATGCTTAGGGAATAAGAAAATCATGGATTTTCCAAAAAAGATGATTGGTTAGGGTGTGTACACAATTGACAATAATGCTTAGGGAATAAGAAAATCATGGATTTTACAAAAAAGATAATTGGTTAGGGTGTGTACACAATTGACAATAATGCTTAGGGAATAAGAAAATCATGGATTTTACAAAAAAGATGATTGGTTAGGGTGTGTACACAATTGACAATAATGCTTAGGGAATAAGAAAATCATGGATTTTACAAAAAAGATGATTGGTTAGGGTGTGTACACAATTGACAATAATGCTTAGGGAATAAGAAAATCATGGATTCTCCAAAAAAGATAATTGGTTAGGGTGTGTACACAACAACAACAATCTGTGACATTACCAAAAAATCATAGTTAGGACATTTAGCGCTTACTTCTCCTGAATAAGGATGAAAAACTATAGGAGGTCCCATAAGTTCCCATACAAAGAAAAAAGTATAGGAAAAGTAAACATACAGTTGTAGCTCAGTTTACTTTCGCTTTGATATGCGTTCAGCATGGTATAGTACTTGTTGGACGCAAAACTTTTTCATTGGATTTTGACCTTTGTTTGAAATATGACCCCTGTTCTAGAACTTATGTGAGTCCAAATTAATATGGAGACTACACTCCTATCTTTGCTTACCTCTCTCGAGACAAAGCTGTGGATATTCAATGACTTTGTAAAGAAGAATCACCCCAACAAAGCCCAATCACTCCATAATAACATTGTCTGGAATAACCAATAACACATTTATGAAACATCCTGATCAGAATGCAGAAGCAAAGTTTTTTGGACACATGTTTAATTAAATCAAGCCTGAAGAGCCTCAGACAAATCCTAGTAGTGAAAATAGACTCACACACACACACACAATTTGGAAGTCGCAGTTAGCCTCCATCATCTGGATCTATACACCTGGGCATGCAGGAGTAAATGGTGATGAAAGAGCTGAACATCTGGCAAGTAATGCACCAATGCAAATAGGAAAAAAAAGCATGGACAAAGCTGATATCATCAACACCGTACAGATTAGGTTGGGAGATAATGGAAAATCTCTGACGGTAACACGACTTCGTGACCGAGAAGTTGAGCTTAGTGAAGCACGACTGTGCCGTCCTAGAGGTAAAGACAGGAGATACTATAACTAACTCCTCATGGGAACAATAAGTAGAGGTACCTTGAAGTGACTGCTGCATTGGAGGACTGAGCACGTATGGGGATGCCCACTGTGCAAAGACGTTGACTGTGATAACATAACATAAACACACACAATTTCAGATTTGTGAAGTTTCATTGAAAAGGGGCTTCCCTTCGAAACAACATCTCCTCCTCCTCCTCCCTTCTCAGTACCATGCTAGTAAGCACTTAACTGTTCTCAGCAATGTAAAGTGAGGTTACCTTTTCATTTATTTGATCTAATTGCTTTTGTATTTATGTACTTGAATACTAATCATTGTTTAAATGATTGTATCCAATCTTATCAATGTATGATATGTTTGTCTTCTTTCTTCTTTGAATTCACCACCAGCTGTAAACTCTGGTGGAAAGTTGGGGTTGTTCATCCACTTCTGGACTCACCAACACCTGAGTGTTGCGTGTGCATTCGTTTGACAGATCTGACACATTTGAGTGTAGACTGTTGGTTCCTTGTCTCTCAGGCAAAATGCACTCCGACTTCGAAGGAAGCTCCCAATTAGTCGACTCTTACGACATGCTTTTGGGCAGGCAGTGGGTCTATTCTTGTTGTCCCTATAATAGGGCCCCGGAACCCACACGGGGGTGATATGTTCGTGTTTTTCATGGAAACTGATTAATCATTCTCCATTTATTACTTACAAATAAATTAGTTTGGTAAGAAGAGTCTAAGGATCAGCAACGTTTTAAGGACGTATAGCTTGGTATACCGATTTGCCATGAGAGGGTGAAAAGGGATCATTTATTTTTGCTACATTCGTAAGTTTGCTGTCATGGGAGACAATACTTTACTTGTATTTTCAAATACGAACTTACAAGAGTTACTCACCTTGACCTGTTAATTTTGTTTATTGATTCTTTCCACTGACCGGCGTCGCGAAATGGCAATGGCAGTTCTAGATTCGGAAACTTTATTGACCCAAGTAATTTCTTTCTTTCTTTTCTTTTCTTTTCTTTTCTTTTCTTTTCTTTTCTTTTCTTTTCTTTTCTTTTCTTTTCTTTTCTTTTCTTTTCTTTTCTTCTCTTTTCTTTTCTTTCTTTCTTTATTTTGTGTGAGATTTGATGACAGTAAATAAGACAATAAAGAAACTGGTGCTGATGGAATTGCTACTGAACTTACAAAAGAAGGTGGTCATTCATTACATTTAAAGAAATATTAATTATTAAAACTAGTTTGGAAGACGGAGAAATAACCACTTGAGTGGAAAGTGTTAGTATTAATACCCATTTTTAAGAAAGGAGACAAGTAAAAATGTGAAAATTATAGAGGAAAGTCATTATTATCCAAAAGCTACAAGATACTATTAGCGGTAATCCTAAACAAGCTAAAACCATACGTCGAAGACATATTTGGTGATTACCAAGCGGGTTTCTGACAGAACAGATCAACAATAGATCAGATATTCATTTTACGGCAAATAGCAGAGCAAATCTGGCAATACAGAAGAGATGTAAATTTTTTTTTTTTTTTTTTTTTTTAATAAAGGAGTATGATATTATAAATAGAAACAGTTTATGGAATGACTTTGGAATACCAAAGAAGTTAATTACCACGACCAAACTATGTATGGAAGACACTTATAATATAGCAAGATATAATGACAGAAATTCAGACTCTTTTCACATAACTTCTGGTTTTAATCAAGGTGATGCTCTGTCCCCACTTATTTTCAACTTGGCCCTGGAGATAATTATAAGGAAATTGAAAGAAGGGTGTACTGTATGAAAAACTACATGAATACTTGGTTATGCAGATGACATTGATATCATCGGAGAAAAGGAACTAGAGACTGTAAAAACACTGGCTTTCTTAAAAGAATCAGCTCACAAAATGAGACTAGAGATCAATCACGATAAGACAAAATACATGATAATATCAAGAGAGGGAAATGATATAAACTCCAGTCACATACAGGTCGATAATATGAAAATCAAACGAACGAAAACAAGTATTTGGGTGCAAACTTTAACTGCTCCAAAGTACAGAGAGAAGAAATACAATCTGGACATAAAGTTTACTATGCCCTTCAATATCTGCTAAAGTCAAAGTCTCTATCACCATTTGTCACTGGCATAATGCTATCTTTTAATAAACTGAAATGGCTTGGCATATTAAGAGAATGTCAAATAACAGAGCAGTAAAAACTGTAAACATAAAGGAGCTGAATAGTCGCAGACCACGAGGCAGACCAAGAAGACGACGGAGAGATAACGTCCAGGAGGACCTGCAAACACTTGGTGTCACTAACCCTAAAAAGAAGGCCAACCAGAGAGATAAGTGGAGGCGGGTGATATCTGCAGCAATGAACATCAAAAGCTCGGAACGCTGAGGACAAAGAAAAGAAAGAAGATTTTGTGTGAGATTTATTTTGTTTGGTCGCAATATCAGTTGAGACTGCTGTTACCCGTTAATTTCAAGAAACACTTGTCTCACACCTCAAGTAGCGTGGACCTTTCGTACTCTTCTCTGTCATTATTATAATCATCTAGCGCCTTTGCGACTAGCGTAGGTGATCACACCTCTGATCTCTGGTACTCTTGAATAGTAGAGTGAGTTCAGCACATAACAGATTTGCACTGTTGGCTTGCCATCAAGATTGATATTTAGTTCATTGCAAGGCTCACTCCTGATGCCTCTTCAAAACTTGACGCTAGAAATGAGCACAGGACTAGAAAAGAAGAGGCAGAAGATTGATGAAGTACATATCAGTGGCGATGATCTTGGCTACGCCTGTGCAGACTCATATTTGTATAGATTCAGTTGGCACTCGATGGGTGACATGGCCAGTATCACTCTGGTCGCCTTTACTTACTGCGACATCACCTGGTACACACGTTAGCTTAGGTCGACATGGCAGCTAACATAAATTTGAAAAAAATCGTCTTGATCCGGAATTGAACTCACAATTTTCGGACTGGCAGGCTAGCGTTCAGTCACTCCGCTACCGCTGTTCCGTAACGAAATTTACTGTGTCTAATAAAACAATACAAAAAAATGTGTAAGACCTTTAGGACGCAGCAATTAGTCAAATTGAAATGTATGAAAGGGATTATTGTTCGTCGATTTATTCAGCGTAGAAATAAAGTTGTCGTTTTTTAGACTGTATGGGTAGTCCTTATTTCAGCATTTGGTGGACTACTTTTTCGTTTCAACTACTCGCTACAGGACTCGCTTTCCTTTCCTCTATTTTGTGTTTTTCCCCACTCTGCTCTTCTTTCTCTCCTTATTTCTCGCTTTATTTGTCTTCCTGTTGGCACACTAGTATTTATTATAATTTATTTTATCTAGAAATTATTATAATTCAGCACAGTATAGTGTCTGTAGTTAATTTTAAATTGTTGTCCATGATGTTTATTGTGACGTGTCAAAAGATGTATAAATGAATTAACATGTGACAGGTGTCCAATAGGCCGACTGTTTGACGGGCTTGAATGCCCAATTATTAACCCTTTTTGGGGGGTAATGTTCGTTTATTTTCACATAAAGCTATCTATTCATCAAATGCACCATTTATCCAATAATTTACGTGTCGTTCCACCCATTCAATCATTCGTCCAACCTTCTGCCCCTCCATTTATCCATCAGCTAATCCACTGAACATAATGCTGCAAACAAAAAACTTTACTCATCATCGCTATCATTGAGATTCGATACACTGTGTCCATTCAGCTTTATACCATCTCTTGAAATCATCATGGAGCCTTCTTCACAGGAAGTCTTATACCGAAGCCAGATCTGTCGCACTAGGTCAATGGTCAACATGTCTGTTGTATTCACCGAAACCATCTGAATAACAAACAAGCCATCAGCCTTCAGGTACCGCCTTAACATGACCAGGCACTTTCTGCGATCATCAAATGTTGTGTGACGACTAGACAAGAAAGATCCGAAAAACTTCCACAGAAAAAGTATGCTTCTCGATTCATTTGCGAGCAGAAAAAGCCACTTGACAAAACTTATGGCGTTCACGAATAACATAAGCATTAGGCAGAACCACAACAAAAGAAACATCTTCTCCAAGAAGAGGTTTATCGCCAGCACACACTGGACTGTGTAAGTGTGTACATTCTCTAGCTGCCGGATCTTCACGTCACAGTGGGTGACCCTAGGAAAGTTGTATTCGTCTTCCCATTGGCCGGATCGTATATAAGATGTCATAGCGTGGAAACCAAACTTCCAGAAGTTGGTCTTGAGAAAAGCGGAGATAATGAAGAACTGGCTGAAGATGTTGAAGATGTAGAGAAATTTCACCAAGAGGTAGCTGTAGACGAGGCTGCACCCGGAGCCTTTTGCTCTGCAGTTAACATTGGTTAATAATCGCCCAAAGAAATCATTGACCATGTTTCTGAAAATACAAGCAAAATATATAAGAAGGTTCAATTGTTTAGTATGAACTGTCTTTCCATCGATACTTAATAGTAAATGTATGTAAAATGTTTTGCTGGACATTTGCTTTGCATCCGACAATATCTTTACATTTCACAACATATTGTTGACTACTGTGACCATGGTCACAGCACCCTTTTCCGATGTCTAAATTAATGTATGCCCAACATGTGTCTAGATTACTCTGTGGCCGGAACGTAAAAAAAAATTTATTTTTTGGGGGGGGCCCAGTATGTATAGATTGTCGGCTCTGATTCTAAGTCGATGCGAACGCTTCATAATGCCGGGATGCCGGGTTCGATTCCAGCTGCGAGCTAAGCGCCTTGCGTTGGTTTCGACAGTGGTATCAAGAAAGCTGACCGTTCAGGAAGCAATGGCAAACTACTGCACGTAAATTTGCCTAGAAAAACCACACAACAGCCAGGGGCTGTTGGGGTTGGTTCTGCAACGTCCTGTAAAGGATACGCAACTAACCTAACTAATGTATAGATTACGGTCTGACCAGGATGTAGTTTCTATCAAGTATATCTAGATTAGTGTCTGGCCAGGATTAGTTTCTGCCCAGTATGTCTAGACGTCAGACCAGGATGTCTAAACTAGCTTCTGTCCCGGCATTTCTATCTGACTACAATGTCTAAACTAGTAATGCCTAGTATATTTAGACTATTTCTGCCCAGGATGTCCAGACAATTTCTATCAAAGAGGCTGCTATCTACTGAGGACGCCCTACGGGGAAGAAAACAAAGTTCATTTTCTGTCTTAAACAACAACACTGGCGTAGCTATTCTACATCCGACGGATGAAATATAATGCACACAAAACAGTGAAACATGCCAGGCATACTGGCGGGTTGACAAAAACATAGAGTAGCAAATAGATTGACAGGATAGCAGATAGACAAGCTAGCAAGCTTATATACTGACAGGCGGACAGTGTAGTACACATACAGCAGTGCAGATATACATTTTAGCGCAGACATAGTCTGTCAAACAGATAGGTTGTCAGACTGATAGGGGGACGTAGAGATAGGTTGTCAGACAGATAGGGGGACGTAGAGATAGGTTGTCAGACAGATAGGGGGACGTAGAGATAGGTTGTCAGACAGACAGGGGGACGTAGAGACTTCTGAAGAAACATAATATTCATGGTTAACAAAAAGCAAAAGATGAACAAAATAGACACAGAGATGAACAGAAAAAGCTACAGACAGACATGCAGATACATGGATAGATCTGAAGCGACATATAACTACACACAAACCGACAGACACATGTCAATTACCAGAACAAAGAGATTCGAATAAAATGGCAGACACACGAAAATAAAGTGTGGATGTATAAAGATAAACATTGCAACAAAATGCACGCACTGATATGCAATCAGATAGTTACATCGAAGAAAGAAAGTAAGACAAACGCAAGAACAAGCATATAATTAAATCGACAGACAACTATAGACACAAAATTACACAGTAAACAGACATATGAATGGTCAGAGAGAGGCCGAGACTGAGGAACGGATGGACAGATGGGCTGTATCACAGACATGCAGACGGAATGACGGATATATGTGTGGATAGGTGGAAAGACGGATGTATGGGTAGACAGGCGGACGAACGGACAGACAGACAGACAGACATAAATGTAAATAGATGGATGGATAGATCGATAGATGGATGGGTTGATTTTGAAAAAAAAAATTAACTCAAACAAATGAAATAATGATGTGTACTGTCTGAACTTTTTTTTTTTTTTGTATCAACAAGCTTGATTTGTAAATGACTGATCACATCAAATATTAACAAGTCGGTTCCAAAAAGAGAAATGTAATATCAAAACGGATCGTTTTAGCTCAAGTTTGTATCAACAATCGAAAGGACTGAAATATTCGACAACAGAAACAAAACAAAGATACGACTGAGAAATGATCCTAACAGACAGTAAAATAATAGCAATGTAGAAACCTGCTAGATGGCGTTCCTGTAGTGATCCATCGATGGAAGTATTCAGCAACCCGACGCAACTGTTCGTCCCTTGTATTCTGGTCCATGAAAACAGTGTCTGTTGTCATTCCTGAAGTGTTACAAATAAGACAGCGACATTTGAATGTTTAAATGTTTAGCTTTATAAGGAATCAGATACAAAACTATAGAGAACATTTAGGCCAACCCTTTTTTTTATTATTATTAATTTTAGGTATTGGCCAGATTACGCTGGTCTTTCCCTGCCTCACCATTATCTTAAGGTCGTAATAATTTATTTACCCTTCTGCATTATTCAGTTACCCTCAACGGATATTGTTCACATCTATCTAGTGATGCATCAAGTTAACACTAAGTTGTGCAGTACCAGCTAATCTATCTGCCTGTTCGTTCCCCAGAATGTAAAATATTGAGCGTACATTGTGTTACCTACGATTAGCTGCATGTTTGCATCCGAGGCTTTGTTCAGTTGTTTCCAGAGAAGTTGTGGCACTCGGAACAGAACAGCCAGAAAAAGGAACAATGCTACTATCATTTTATAGTAGTTGACGTCATTGAAATACCTAAATAGAAAATCAAAACGTTTCATTATTATTATCATCATCATCATCATCATCATCATCATCATCATCATCATCATCATCGTTAATGCTTTTGCTGGAGATGATGACACTCTTCTTGTTTTGGTTCATGTTGTTGTTGATTGTAATGTTGAATCTGTCTTAGCTTTTGAAGTGCGTCTCTTACTTGTTGTTGATGAACAAAAGAGAGCAAGCAAAAAGCTACTCAACACTGAGGGATCGTTCTCTCAAGTCATGTTGTGTATCAAGATAATATGTAAGGCTAAGACCATATAACGGCAGTTTTCAGAGCAACAGATGAGCTTTAGTACAAATAGAAGCCCCACATATGTAATCAAGACACCTAAGCGGTTAACAGAAAATACTATTGAATGTAGTAAATAATTTTTTGCCTTCGCAGGCATTCTACAAAGTTGACAGACAAGTATTATGAAAATAATGGCTCGAATTAAGATAAGTGAACATCTCATTTCAGTGTGAAAAGGTTTGTGTGTGTGTGTGTGTGTGTGTGTGTGTGTGTGTGTGTGACTTTAGAAGTGTGGTTAGAATAGATAAAGGAACATCGACATCATTCATGGTAAGTCTGGAGCAAGATAAATATACGTTTTATTGCTTCTTTTGTTTATTACCTGCAGTATACACAAAGATGCCAAGCACAGGAACACAAATTATGGTAATATCATGTAATTAACATAACCCTGGACCCGTTATGGTTGTGGAGGTATATCGATGAAACTACTAGTGCACAAAACCTGCCATCTTTCCCTATCTTTCGCTTGCTGAATAAGTGTAAAATAATTTAGTCCCGGGCTGTTTCTGTCCAGGATGTACAGACAATTTCTACCAGGGCTTATAGTAGTCAGTCTGTCTGCGCTTCTGTCTGTCCAGGGCGTCTGTCTGTTCTAACGTTATTTTACTGATCACATCGTCCATTGAGTACCGACTTGACTGTAAAAATATGGCTCTGGAATTATATGCCTGATGGCCCACTAGCATAAAAATAGCCCTTGACTCACTTACTAAAACAACCTTATCAAAAGCAACTATATTTTATATTTTACTATGTAACCTTTATAAATCTATAAGCATATACCCGATTTCCCACAGACGTTAAAATGGCCCTTGGCTTACTTGTTAAAACAACCTTATTAAAACAACAATATTTTATATTTTACTATGTAACCTTTATAAATCTAGAACCATATACCCATATTCCCAACTCGTTAAATTGGCCCTTGACTTGCTTATTAAAACAACCCTATTAAAAACAATAATATTTTATATTTTGCTATGTAACCTTTATAAATCTAGAACCATATTCCCGATTTGCCACTCGTTAAAATGGCCCCTGACTTACTTATTAAAACAACCTTAATAAAACAACATTTTATATTTCACTATGTAACCTTTAAAAATCTAGAACCATATTCCCGATTTGCCACTCGTTAAAATGGCCCCTGACTTACTTATTAAAACAACCTTAATAAAACAACATTTTATATTTTACTATGTAACCCTTATAAATCTAGAACCCTATTCCCGATTACACACTGACGTTGAAATAGCCCTTGACTTATTAAAATTACCCTATGAAAACAAATATATTTTATATGTCACTATGTAACCTTTAAAGATCTTGAACCATTTACCCAATTGCCCACTGACGTTAAAAAGTTGCTTTCATCATTGGCACCTTTCCGTCTTTCCAAACGATATTGCGCTATGATGAGGCATGAGACTCACAGCCCATGGCGATGGCGAGTATGACTAGCAAGACCCGCCCATGTCAAGAAAAGTCTTCCACAATGATAGCGGGGGATTTCAGGACCATTGTTAACAACATTTGTGTTTAATCCGCTAGCGTCCATTGAATACCGACTTCACTGGTGTTAAAAAGTTGCTTTACTTATTTAGTTAAAAACAACACTGCACACTCGGCTAAATAGTCTAAACTTTCGAAAGAAAAGGATTTACCTGTCGTCTTCTTCATCAGGTATGAATTCATCAAACGGAACGTTGTACATTTTGCTGACCCAAGCAGTAGTGGTGTATGTATCGTCTGTGAATTTTCTCTGTAAATTCGGCCGGTGACCAGCAATAGATGGCTGACCCCACATACTGCCTAGTTCCAGAGGCCACCCCTAGGAAGACTAGTAAGCCATACATAACCATGTGGTTTACCCGATCAACCGTGTCATCGTCCCGTGCTCCCCTGTCGAAAACTGCTGCTGACAAAGCTGAGAATACGCTACCAATTCTGGAGAAAAAAGATACATTTAGAAATTTTTAGCAGAGGTTCGACAAAAGTCGTCACCTTTCAAGTCGAGTCCCTAGTCATTGCCACCAAGTGTCGGGTCAAGTGTCGAGTCCCTAGTCATTGCCACCAAGTCCCAGGTCAAGTGTCGGGTCCCTAGTCATTGCCACCAAGTCCCAGGTCAGGTGTCGGATCCCTAGTCATTGCCACCAAGTGTCTGGTCCCTAGTCATTGTCACCAAGTCCCAGGTCAAGTGTCTGGCCCCTAGTCATTGCCACCAAGTCCCAGGTCAAGTGTCGGGTCGCCAAGAATGCAAGTGAGTCGAGTCCCTAGTCAAGTCACTTCATGTATCAATCGCAAGTGCTGCCTGGGACTATGCTTGAGGATTCTTCTTCTTCTTCTTCACGTTCACTATCTGTAAACTCGGGCTGAAATTTATGGTTGTTCGTCCACTTCTATACTGCAGCCCTGTTACAGAACCTGAGTGTTACATGTGCATCCGTTCGACATATTTGACTCATTTGCGTGCAGACTGTTAATTCCTTGCCTCTCAGGCAGATGCACTCTGACTTCGAAGAAAGCTTCCAATTAGTCGACTCTTACGACAGGCTTTTGGGTAGGCAGTGGGTCTATTCTTGTTTTCCCTATAATAGGGCTCAGGAACCCACACGGGGAGCTTTTGGATTCAACTAAATAATTTGTTATATTACTAAAAACAACAGCCAACAATTGTTAGATTCTTATGTTATATGTAATTAGTTGAACACATACAATAGCATATTGAAGGTATTATTTTATAAGATTTGCAGAAAAGTCACACGAAAATTCACAGTGGCATGTTCGAACAACGAGTGGTATCAAGCCGTCGAAGATTTAAATCTCGAGTCGCCTGGCGCTTGACAGAACTCCAAGTCGGTTCGCAAGTCGTCATTACGCATTTAAGTCCAAGTGGCGTGACTCGAGTTCCGACCTCTGATTTATACTGGTGTCCAAAGTAAAGAACACTCATTGTGGTTCTGTTGGCCTATAAAACCTTTACAATGCGCTATTGGCGAACAAAGGGTCTTTAACGTACTTACTTGCAAGGTAAAGATACCATCACGTAGCAGGTCCTACACAGAACGTCACTCTCACCCCCGCACACCTGCAATAAGCTCAGTTCCTGACCAACTATCTTGCACCTTTCTCCTTAAAGTTTCTCTTACACCCTTTGCCCCTCTTCATACTGGTCGGCCCCTGCTCTCCTACATGGTAGAACGCTCTTTGCTGCGGGTCTTTCCATTTCACCGCTTGCTTGATATGGTCAAAGTATTTCAGTTTCTCAGACACGATACTGTTTAGGAGCCAATATTCCTTGATGCATTTTCTTCTTTTTTTTCTGGGTCCACGGAATTCTAAGAATCATTCTTTAGCAATTCAGTTCAAAAGCAGATTCAGCAAATACTCTAATTAATGTCTTTTTAGTGTTCACACATTACAGGCCACAGCATATGAGGTTTGGTAATCGGCTCTCTTTCTCTTTGACTGTATTTTCCAGTGAATGGCTAAAACAATGCACTTCTATAAGACTGGGTCATTGCCAGTGACGTACAAGTAGAACACGGGTTATATTTCATTATCTTGGGAGAGTGGGATGTTTAGTTAGCTTACTCGTTTTGGGGATGGGAGTCTCAAGAAGGACCTGGGCCTTGTTTAAGTGTATAATAATAGCAGCAGTAGTAGCAGGAATAGCAGCATAGTAGAAGCAACAGCAGCAGTATCAGTAGTAGTAACAGAAGCAGCAGTAGTAGTAAAAACAGCAGCCGTAGTACTAAAACTGAGCATTGCGAAAACCCTTAAATGAAGCACATTGATGTCAGAAATGCAAATGATATAAGAGAATACAAATTAACACATTAAGACTTGGTAATTAAGGTTAATAAGGACTTCAGTGAGACGATAACATGAACAAAAGCGACACAAAGTTTCTACTTACTCTAAAACCATTGTTGTTTAGTGGAAGTTGGCCGTGTTTCCGAACACGTTTTGTGTTTTCACTTCTTTATTTTCTACTTTGTTAATAAAATAATGGTTATGTCTATGTTAATGAAACATGTATTAATTTTAATGACATATACTATACATTCTGAATTTAAATAAATACATAATACTTTCAATCAAAACTGGGTTAAATGTGTATTTCAAATTGCTTTCATGTAACAATGTTTTTTTCCGACAGTTTAAATTTCGTTCTTCAAAAAATCAGTATTTAAAATCAGTTTCATCTTTCAGAAATAAAAGTAACATTCAATGTAAATTGCACAGTTTATTTTAATCAACACGCAATCCATACATTGTGTCAGTTCATAATTTTAGTTCACTAAAATTTTATATTGTTGACAAATATTGTTAAGACATTTAATGTAGGTATCTATATTACTTCGACTATACAGTTCATTTAGTCCAATATTTTGCATGTATGTGTCACAGACGAAAGGTATTTAATAAATCTCTACACTGTCTAAAACATGCGGTAATTTAAGTTACTAAAATTGAAATAAATCTTCTTTCTGTCAAGAAATTACTAATTTTCCTAACGTTGATGCGTCGTCACATGACTGAAAGAATAATTGTACACTTGTCACTGATTGATACCCTCACAAATATTGAAGAAGAACAAGATAGATTAGATTAATTATATTCCGCAAACTCTAGTCTGATGAGTGCGACTGTGCACATCTCGTGTAACTAGACGCCGGTATGATACTATTGTCTTATCTTTGCGTGAAGTATTCTGACACACTGTGTCAATACTGTAGTCAATAGTTCATGGATCCGCAGCGAGGAGCAAGACTAATAACTCAGTCACGACTGTCAGTATAGCTGATTGTTGATTCAGCTGTATCCAACTTTAAGGACTTCGTATGATATTTAGTGCTCCTTCAAGTTTGTGTTTTATCCCAATCTTGATTTCCTTCATTCATTAATTTTTGTCTTGCTCCCTATCCTTCTGAGCTCCCACAGCCGCCTCCTTTATGAAATTATACTCTTCCTCCTGCCCCATCTACTGCTACTACTGCTGCTGCTACCACTACTACTACTGTTGCTGCTGCTGCTGCTACTGCTGCTGCTACTTCTACTCCTGGTGTTGCTACTATTTCTCCTTGCCCTCCTTCTTCTCCTTCAACTACTACTACCTTCACCACCACTTATCAACATCAATCCGCGCCTCCTTTACAGAACGTCGCTCTTCTCACGACACACCTGAAAGTATCCCTCTCCCTAGCCAGCTCTCCAGCCCCATGTGCTTTCAGTGTCACTGTATCGTTAATATCCTGTATCCATCTTCGTGGAAGTCGACCCCTGCTTCGCTTTCCACAAACTGCACCCTTTATAACTGACTTTTCCAAGACACTATGACGTTTGATGAGCCCTAAATACTTCAACTCTCGTAACAGGATGCTGTTTATGAGCCAGTTCTCCTTGATGTTCCACTCTTGCAGAGTGTCGATGTTTTTCCTCTTCTTGATCCATTTTATTCCACAACCACTACCATTATACTAATCCCACCAAGAATAATAATCCTACTAATACTACGACTAATGCCACTGATAGTACTACTACAACTATTACTACTAAATAATCCTTCTCTACTACAACGACTATTACTAATACTACTATTGCTGGCGGCTGATAATACTATAACTACACGTGTTTGATTTTCGAGGTAAAAGTAGAATATACAACATTCTGCCATTTAAAACCGGAACGACAACAAACTGTACAAGAGTTAATAACTGTTTACAACAAACATGACCAGCAAACATTACCCAAGGGTCACTCGGAATTATTCAAGCACAACAAGAGTCGTGTTTTCCCCAGTAGGAGTAGACGTCCGAAGTCAAACCTCCAACCGCTACAATCAGGCGAGAGTGAATTAACGCTAGATTCCCGCAGAAGACAGATGCGAGCTCATGTTGTGTTTTTGTATAAAATAAAGAAGCCTTTTCCACACCTAAAGGCGTATTGGATATATAGGTCTAGACCGATGTTTATTTGGTCAAGCGACAATTGGTGGGTGATATGGTTGGCATCACGACGGCCGCCTTTACATCCCAGGGCTTGTTTTTGTATAATAATGTTTTGTTTTCTGGTCCCCCCCCCCCCCCCCCCCCCCCCAGTTTTTGCATTCTGTAGGTTTAATATCTCAACAATGAAAATGAAACAGCTACAAATCACGAAATTCCTATTCAACCTTCTATTTGATTGATTGACACCTTTCCATCTTTCCAGACGATAGCGTTATATTGGGCGTGGAGGAGGCATGGATGAGATCAGTCAGCTAAAGAATGGACGGATACACCAGTAGACCTGCATGACTTGTCTAAGGTTGTCATAACACCGGGGAGGTACTGCAAGAATCAGATACCTGCCACCGTAGACGTCGAGATTAGAGCACTGATTGATCAGCACTCTCGCCCAGAAGACGTCGTGATTTACACAGATGGGTCAGTGAAGCGCGGGACAAGATCAGCATGGGCATACACAATACAAAAGATGGGAAAAACAATAAAAGAGGATAGCGGCGCTTACCAGACGACTACGTCAAGCATGACCATAGCTGCTGCTACAAGAGCACTCACGTGGGTAACAGAACAAGCGGCCACACATGTGGTAATTGTTTCAGACTCTATAAACATGCTTCAGAAAAAAATCGCTACAGGTAGTCTCCGCTCCGAATGGTTAGAAAGCATTTGGAAGTCGCAGTTAACCTCCATCATCTGGATCTACACACCTGGGTACGCAGGAGTAAAAAGCAATGAAAGAGCTGACCAGCTGGCAAGTAATGCACTAATATAAATGGGAAAAAGCATGGACAGAGCTGATATCATCAACGCCGTACAGATTAGGTTGTGAGATAATGGCGAATCTCTGACGCTAACACGACTTCGTGACAGAGAAGTTAAGCTTGGTGAAGCACGACTATGCCGTCTTAGGGGTAAAGACAGGAGATACTATAACCA